CACTCTCCAGCTCGGCCAACTGCTTCGCCAGCTGCGGCTCCTGCGATGCCTGCTCACCTAGCAAAATACAACGCTCAAGAGCATCGTCAGTACCCGCACTCGTTATAGCGAGTGCGGTCTCAAAATCAGCAAGCACATTACAGTAATCTATGTCATTATGCAAATGGGAGTGTTTCCCATTCTCAGACACAGAAAAAGTAGCCTGTTCATCACCAGCACGCATGATCAATTTACCACTATGCACATCAATAAGCGCCTTGGCGGTGGCGAGAAACGGTCTACCCAAAATCAAAGGTACATCCACATCCTCATTTATATCCAAAATAACAAAGTCAACAGGATATGTGAATGCACCTACATTAACAAGCAAATCCTCAATGATACCCCTAGGATGCACGATGGAACGATCAGCTAACTGAATGCTCATCCTAGTAGCTATAGGTTCACCTAGGTCTAGCTTTTTAAACAATTTGTAGGGCATGACATTTATACTAGCGCCTAGATCCGCCAAGGACTTTTCTACATGCATGCTGCCAATAACAAGATGGATAGTGAAACTCCCTGGGTCTTTACGCTTCTCGGACAGCTTATTCTGCAGGATAGCAGAACACTCCTCGCTCAGCATCAATGTCGAAAGATCCCCAAGTTTCTTCTTGTTGGTGAGGAGGTTCTTCATGAACTTGGCGTACTTGGGCATCTTGGCGGAAGTGAGTGATCTCCCGCTGGATCTCTGTGGTCTTCGATGCTGGGTAGTACCTGTGCACGAACATGTCAGCTAGATCATCCCAAGAAGTGATGGACAATGGGGGCTGGTTCTCCAACCACCTCTTAACATTCCCCGCCAGAGAATGGGGGAAGAGGTGAAGGCGGATTGCGTCATCAAGGACACCGTTCAGCTTGAACCTGTTCGTTAGCTGCAGAAAACGGGAAAGATGCACCCTTGCCTCCTCATCCTTCAAGCCATGGAACCGGATAGATGATGTCATGAGTTGAATCCAGCATGGCTTGATCTCGAAGTTGTTCGCTGGAATAGGCGAGTAGAGGATGACCGGGCGGATGTCAGCAATCCGTGGAGTGTAGTAGTACTCCAAGGTGCGACCCGGCGACAGTGGATGATGATGAACCCCCTCTGCCTGGGTATGGGGTTGTTTCCCAAGACCTGATTCACCGGGGGAACCTGGTGATGATTCCCCTGGTGTGGATTGTAATCTCCTTCCATCTCGTACTCTTCCTCAGAATCGCTGCTCAAGCGGCCGTCTATGCGCTCCTCAGTAGCCAGTCTAGCTCGCTGTTGTCTCCTGAGTTGGCGACAGGTGCGTTCAATCTCCGGATTCAACGGCAGTAAACCTCCCGACTGGCTACGGGTCATGCACTACCTGCACACAGTCAAGCAAGCAAACCCGTGAAGGCACAAGTGGGAAAGAACAAACAGTCAATGCGAAAACGAAAATGCTAAAGTAACAGAAATCACTTTTCTTCAACAACCTAGCCGTCCCCGGCAACGGCGCCAAAAACTTAAATCACTTCTACTGTCACTCTAGAAAATGGCCAAGTGAAACCACTTCCTAAAGCGTAGTATAGCAGGTTTGAGTTTTAATGTCAACCCGGGTCCTAGATGTGATGACTACTCAATGAATTCTTATTATCTAGCGGTAAAACTTAAGTGCAGGTTCAAACAAACAAAAACACAAAGCAAGTTAAACGGTTGTTTCAAGTTGAGAGAGGTCACCCGGATATGGTTCCCCCTAGACCGCAGTCAAGCCGGATTGCAATTACCAAGTTCAGTTTCTATGATAGTTATACTGCGGAAGGTTCTTAAACAGTCTGAGTCTCCAGACCCTCTCAATCTGAGTCTCCAGCGGGCGACTAACCTCCATCGGAGTAAATAGATTGAGGCCCTAACGAACAAAACCTCCACTACCGAAGTAAATTCGGTACAGAATAGTGAATTGGCTCCTCGACTAAAGTCGCCAATTCACTACCTTCAATTAAGGGTGCTCTATCAACCTAGGCAGATATTCTCTTTCTAGGTTAAAGCAGAAACAACAGGAATTTGATCAGGATTCATGCCATTCAATCATTCAAACCTCAATTGAATATAATCAAATCATAGAATCTGTACTTGGGTTCATACAATCAGACCTAACATACAAATCTAGGGTTCTCCATACCCAGATGAATGGGAGAACTACTCCATGGAGAAAGAAGCAAGAGCAGATTCAGATGCGGAAACCATACCGTGAAGGATGGATTTCTGCTCCTAGTTGTCGATCAACACTTCTCCAAGCTCAAGCCGAGCTCCAATGGTGATGAAGATCAAGCTAGGGCACTTGGGAACTCTTGTTCGTCGCTTTCTCTCTCTAGGAACAGCTCTGTCTCTCTAAAACTCGAATCCCCTTCTCTTTTGACTGAAATCTACCTAAAAGGGCATCACTGGGCAAAACACGGTCGAGGGCACGGCCGTGCTTTGCTCCAGCCCGCCCGTGCCCTTTGCCACGTGTTAAAAACACGACCAGATTTTGGGGGAAAACACGGTCGTGCCTAATGTTGGACATGACCGTGTTTTGGGTCAGCCCCGCCCGTGTTTTGGGGCCAGTGCTGGACAAACTTGGGTGAAGCCTCGACAGTAAAAACACGGTCCAGGAACACGGCCGTGCTTTGATTTAGGCGTGCCCGTGCTTTGACTCCAGCTCGACCGAATGACTTCCGAATGCCCCGAAACTCGTGTTTAGCCTTTCCTTCGACGTCTGGGACCTGAAATATGACAAAATAACACAACCCGGCATAAAATAGGCCAAAAATACACGACTATGCCCCCACAGATGGATAAGAACTAGGGGTGCAAACATGTGCAATTACATCATTATCAGACGTGCAAGACCCGATTTAGAACAAGACCACTGCTTAAAACAACTTTCCCGATACCATTAACCGGCACACCGGTCCCATTCGGTATTTTAACCTGCAGACTTCCGCACGCAGCATGCTCATCACAAAGAATAGAACGATCTTTAGTGATGTGTTCGTTGCATCCAGAATCAATAACCCAAGTATTAAAAGCAAGCGCACAATTACCTGCAAGATTGGAGACAGGATCGGATGGGACATCCATGTTGAGGAATGCTCGGAGTTGCGCGATCGGCGCCGGTGTGAGACCCGGAAAGCCGCCAGTGGGAGAGTCGACTTGGGCTGCCTGCGGCATGTCGGATGAGGACCCCTTTCTGCTGCCGCGTCGTCCATTCTCCTTCCCACCACGACCTGCTGACTGTTCGTGTGTGGAAGATTTCGGCGGCCATCCTATGATATCGTAGCAGGTGGCCTTAAGGTGCCCAACCTTGTGACAATGGGTGCAACGTGGGCTCCCGTTGGGAGTACGATCATCGGCAGCAGCTAGCTCCCCCTTACCTTGGAAGGCCGCAACATCGGTTTGGGGACGACGATCTTCAGTGAGACGCCGCTGCTGCTCGTCGTTGGAGACGACATTATAAGCTTCACTTAGGGTGGGTATGGGTGTCTTGGACAACAAAGAGGTTCGCACATTGGCAAAACCATCGTCAAGCCTAACCAGGAAATCAAGGAGGCGCATAGCCTCATGGGATTCCCTCGTGCGTTGCTCTACGCGGCACTCGCACTTGCCGCAACTGCAGATCGCCGGCGGATCCAGCATGAGAAGCTCGTCCCAAAGCCTTTTTAGCTTGGCGTAAAAACCAGAAACCGAGGACGTCTCCTGGCGTAATCCCGCGATCTGGCGCCAGAGCTGGTAACGGCGCGACAAGTTCCCGGTGTTGAACCGCTCTTTCAGCTCATCCCAGATCTCCTTTGCGGTAAAGGTTGTGCTGATGCTACTCCTTATCTCCCGCCCCATTGCAACTCGGAGCCACCCAACGACCATCGCGTTGCAGCGGATCCAAGCATCGAGTTGAAGCCCTGACTGTGGCTTCTTGACAGCTCCTGTGACGAACCCCATCTTGCTCTTCGCAAGCAAGGCGTTTGACATCTCCGCCGACCAATCCCCATAGTTTGACTCTGTGAGGGGGTCGCTTACAAACACAAGGTTCGGGTGATCAGCCGGCGTAAGGAAAAGAGGAGAAGACGGGAGTACCTCGTCGCCTGAACCACCAAAGCCGGAGGTGATAGTGCTATCTCCCATAATTGATCGAGATGACAGCGACTATAGAACTCAATGGAAGACTCAAGCTTGACGCAAACCATGTTGCTGAATCAGAGTTTGCTCTGATACCATGAAGAAAACTAGAACGCGAAAGAAGACGACAACCACGTTTACGTGGTTTCCCCGTTCACAACGAACGAGACTAGTCCACGGAGAGGCAGAGCTCTCGAGTCACTATCATTGACGTCTCTGTTTTGTGTGTGTTACAGCCGCCTATGCTCTGTTGCACCAAATATATACAAGAGCAAAACAATAAACCCTACCCGCTAGAAAGAGAAACCAAAAAGGAAAATTACAAAATGGTCCTTCAACTTTTAATACGCAACATGAGCATAATATCATGTCCGAAAAATCAGTCAATTCAAGTTCTAGATAGTGTTTTCTTACTTAATGTATGCGGTACCCCGGATTTCACCATGATACTCCCCATATATATTACGGTACCCTTCCACAATTAAAGGAATATGAAATTTCGGCAAGTAACCAATCGCTCGTTTTTTTTTTCTTTTTGAAAACTCGAGGGCCGCAGATAATTAACCAATTTATATATACTAACCACCGAGCAAAAAAATGTTAAACAAAGCAAAAAAATTAAAACACAGTATTAATCAATTTTGGTAACTGGTAAGCATAATTGTAGAGTGTCTCTTTCTCTGTATATAAATACACAATATCCTTCCCCTCTCTCTCTCTCTCTCTCTCTAACAATCTCCATTACCCTAGGTAGAGCAAAAACTCAAGTAGCAGTAGTAGCAGCTAGCTACGCCCTCTAGTCTCAACGGAACAGTTACTACCAACTTGGTTGAGAAATCGGATTATCATCCTCGTCATGAAGAACACGAAGCTGAGCAACGACTACCCTCGATTTTGCCAGATCTGCAAGCGGTTGTTCCCTACCGGGAAAGCCATGGGCGGCCACATGAGATCTCACTTAGCATTGGCCAAGCTCCCCTCCAGTCGCCACCGTCCTACAGCTACTCCTCCGCCTCAGCCAGCTCAACTCCGCCGTCCAGATCCGGTGACCTTGGTTCCCTCCAGCTCTTCCAATAATTCCTCCACTAGTCTCTCCATCATCAACTTCGTCCCTCCGTTCTCCCCCGATCGGGGTCACTCCTCCGACGGGTACTCCCCCACCGGCGGCCACATGACTCGCCGCAGATCCAAGCGCAAGCGCCGCCAAATCCAATCCACCAGCAGCACAGAGGCTCGATCCGAGGAGGAGGAAGTAGCTATGTGCCTGTTGACGCTTTCTCGAGATCCGCAGCTCCTCGACTTGGTCTGGAAAGATAAAGACAAAAATAAAAATCAAGATGCCTTTGCTGCTGCTGATGATAATAATATGGAAGCTTCACAACGCAAGGGAAAAGCTCCGATTGCGGATTATCATGACGACGATGAGTCGTGTTGTGGGCAGTACAGATGCGAGACGTGCAATAAGGGGTTCCAATCCTACCAAGCGCTGGGTGGCCACCGTGCCAGCCACAACAAGTCCTCCTCCGCCGCCAAATCCCTAGCGGACGACGGAGGAGAGGATGAAGAAGAAGAAGAAGGAGGAGGAGGAGGAGACTGCGACGACGACGATGATGATGAGGATTATCAGGAGGAGGAGGAGGAAGATCAGGATCTGGAAGTGGTGGCTATGAATATTAGCAATGGTGTTACCGGCGGCGGAGGAGGATCGGGAGCGGGTCAGGCGGTCCGAAGGCAGTTTCCTTGCTCGTTTTGCGGGAAGGTGTTCGACTCCGGTCAGGCGCTCGGCGGGCACAAGAAAATACACATGTCTTATCACCACCACCCACCGCCGCCGCCGGCAGTCACGAGGTGTAGTACGAGCACTAGTACGGCCACAACTGTGGACGAGCTGAGAGTACCACAGCTGGTGTTTCCTCCAGGTGGAAGGTTGATGATAGATCTCAACTCCAGCCCATTGGATGACGACGAAAGCGATGAGGTTTATCAACCCCCTAGGGTTCAGCTTTAATTTTGTTTTCTCTTGTCGTGAACATTTAGTTGTATACAGGCCGTTTAGTTTCGTCAGTACTGGGTTTTTTCTTTCTTTAAAACATTAGGTTATACAGATTACAGAGTCATTTCAATTGTGCCACCATGATCGATGACATGATTTGTACTAATATGTTGCAGTTTGCTAGGGTTAGTGCATGGGGGTGCATTATTGTGTCTCTTTTTGTTGTTGTTGTTGTTTATTGCAATCGGGGAACAGATGAATTTGTGATGGTGATGAACATTAGTGTATGCATTGGATGTGGACTGGTGCAGCCTGCTGTGGGAGGTTACTGGAATCACTCGCAAGCTTAATTAGGTCATTAATTTGGTATCAGCTGTTTCCTCCTGTAAGGAGTTACGCATATACAAGAGAAGTTACAGTGGAGATAGACTGTCTCTTTGGGGTTTTTTTTTTCTCCTCCATCACAAAACTGATATTAGTGCGCATTCTAATTATGCCGTAAATCTCTGGTGTTTAGTTGTTTTTTCGTTTGTTCTGATTTGAAACAGCTCGCCTATAGCGAAGTTTTCGCTCTAGTCTACTTTTCTGAAAAGATGATTTTGTTATATGATGACAATAACTATGGGTAGTCTGGATGTGGGATTTGGATGAATGCTTTTAGAAAAATTCTTTGGATTTTAGAAGAATTACACATTTAGAAAGGGCTATAAAAATTATGGATTTTAAGTATATAACAGATTTAAAAAACCTTCTTCTGTTGAATTTCGAAAACCTGTCAAAATCCCTCATTTTTTATTTTTTCCTCTCAATTTTATCCTTTCTAATTTTAGTAAAACCCAAACTGGTCATCACCTACATAACAAGTCTCATTTTCCCCCATCATCCTCCATCCAAGAACAAAATTCCTACCAATCCCCTCTCTTCAGCCATCGATTCTTCTCTCTCACTCTAGCTCTGTTGGCCGTCTCGCAAAAAGAAGACGGCCGCTATAGCCAATGTCTACTTCTCCCTCCCCCTCCAGCTTTTTTGGTCGTCTTGCCAGAAGAAGAAGAAGAAGAGAAAAGGACAAATTTGAACTTTAGGTTTTTGTATTGAAAATATTATCCATAAACAAACAAAGGCTTTGACTCAAATTCAACACACAAATTACCTGATTTTTTTAATTGAAAGATTTGTGCCCAAATCACTCGTCCAAACAACCCAAAGGTATTAAGGACATTCCGAGATTCACTTAAATACACGCCTACAGATGCACTCAACTAATTGGTACTCCTGACTTTTACGACTTAGGTACATAATAATAACAACTTTGCCCTCATCAATCCTAGGAAAATTAATGTTTACAAATACACGCCTAGTCAATCCATAAGGAAAGAAATCATGTGTGGATTTTGCTTCTATAAATCAATCGTCGTGACGAAGTAAAGTCAATCAATTAGAGGTTTCATATTGGAAATCACAAAATTAAAAGAAAATTTAATTTTCTCATCTACTTAAAAGGAAGAAAAAACCGAGAAGAGAATATAATTGTGAAACTTGTGTTTATGATACCGAAGGATAAGCATTGACGTTCTCATAATCTTCTTGTTATTGAAACAAATTAATTGGTAACAATCCAACATTTATTTACTCGAAATATTGTTTGCTTTGGGTCTAATTCCGCATGGTTTTGTTTTTGGGTGAATCATTATGACTTTCTAACAGACCACTCGTCTCTAATTACTACACTCGGAGTACGTTTAATTTCAGAGTTCTTACAAGTACTCTTTTGTCCCTCTTCAAAACACATATTGTCAGTTAAAGTTTATATAGCTTATAAATCTCTCGTGTGCTTTGTCATGTTCGATTTGGCATGACCTCACTGAAATGACTTGCAATATTGGAGTAGATAAATATATGATAAGCGTGGGGCTACAAAAACTCAGCGTTCACGCACATCCCATATTTTACTTTTACAATGAGTAAACTCTATTTCCCCAATGGGTCCTTTCTTACGGCTATAGCTCGGTCCCATCCTTCTTCGGCGTGGCAAAGTATCCTCTTAGGTCGCCAATTGTTAGAGACGGGTTTGCGTTGGCAAATTGGTAATGGTCAGGACGCATCTCTGCTTAATTCTAGTTGGATCCCTATTCAACATCCTCTTCCCCCTGTGTATAATCCCGTGTGTTACCTACTGGGGAGGATCTGCAGGTGGTGGAGGTTATCTGCCCTGGGGAGGGGCGCTGGTGTGACCATAAACTCAGTCAGTGGTTTGACCCGCCGACCTGCAGAGCTATTAAAGCAATCCCCCTGCCTCGTCAGAATATAGAGGATTGGTTGATTTGGCATGCTACTGCTGATGGGGTTTTTACGGTTAAGTCAGCATACCATTTTGCGGTTACTCTTGATCAGTATAGAGGTAGATGGAGGTCCCTTGCTATTTGGATGGATAGGGCTAGCTGGATCCGTTTGTGGGACGCTAATGTTCCTCCAAAACTGAAAGTGTTTGTTTGGCAAATTTACCACAAAATTTTGTCCACAACGGAGGCCTGATTGAAAAAAGGTCATTGTTCTACCTAGGTGTCTGGTGTGTTGGGCGGCTTCTGAGACAACAGAACATTTGTTTCTTGAGTGCCTTGTCACACGCGCCCTTTGGGATCTTTATGGCCTTGCATACATTGGTAAAGGGTTGCCTCGTCACACCTTCCCCCTGTTCCTGAAAAAATTGTTGGCTTTGGTTCATCAACCGACCTTGTTCAAGGCAAACAGTTCGGGTTTTCAGCCTTGATGCGACAGTTTAACCAGCAGGTTTAGGAATGGGTTTGTCTGCCGGTGGAACGATTCCTTCCCAATTCTAGTACTCACACACCTCTAGTGATCCACATGGGTCTACTGTGGCGATTTGTATGTGGGATGGAGCTATTAGGAGTGGGTCGCATTCGGCAGGTGGGATGGTGATTATGACTCCTGCTAGGGACATCCTTTTGGTGAAGGGGGTTCAGTTTCCTTTGATTGATGATCCTATGGTAGTCGAGTTACTTGTCCTCCGTGAGGCTACTTCGTGGTGCTTGGGACAAGGCTTCACCGAAATGCGATTTGAAGGGGATGCTAAGGTGGTCATTGAGATAATCAGGTGGGGCCTATTCTTGAAAGGGTCGTCCGGCCATTTGCTATGAATATGGGGTTTAGTGTACGATTTGTAGGTCGGAGTAACAATAGGGTAGCTCATTTGGTGGCTCGCAAGGCCCTTTATTTGTACTCGACTACGAGTCATTTCTTTGATTTTCAGGTCTGGCTTAACTACAGGATGTAACTATCTTTTGTTCAATCAATACATGATTATCTTTTGTAAAGAAAAGACTCTATTTTGATAAGATAATCGAATTTTATTGGTGGGGCTACTAAAGCAATGGCATTGGAAGATATCGCGATTCCACTATGATAGACAATGAAATGATAATCGTGAGACGCCATGAATACTTCAGTTGTGATGAATTCGAGGAAGTGCAAGTGACCAAGCAGTTTCATAATTAGAGGTACAAAATGGTGGAGTGGGCTCGTAATAAAGGTACTTCCAACTTAGCACGCCAATTTTGGCAACTCAAGACTTAAGATTTCACGTGAGACCGAGTAATAAGAAAATACACGCTAACTGCTAACGCTAACAATGACAAGTGTAGGACTATTAGTTTTGTAGTATAATGGTTCGTTCATACTCTTAAGTAGAGATGACAAACCAGATCTGTCTCGTTGGATATTCCCTGATCCGATATGTAATAGAGCAAATAATATTGATACGTTTTTAAATGGGGCGGAGTTCGACCCGATCCATTTTTAAATGGGGCGAGTTGGACCCGATCCGTTCTTGAACGAGACGAATATGGATATTGGTAGTCGTCATGCCCCGCCATATTATTTCCATTGATAGGTTCACCAGTGACTTTGATATGAATTATAATGGTGACTTTGATATGAATTATAATGGCTAAATTGCAAGATTGGTCGATGTGATTACTAAAAAAGTTCATGTTCGGTCACTAAAAATATTTAATTTCATTCGTGGTCACTAAAATTAGTTAAATATTTCAAGTTTGGTTACTCTCCGTTCAAGTTCGTTAACTTTTGTTGATATGGCGGTCAACTCTCATAGTTGACAGTAAGTGTATGATGTGACAATTAAAAAATATTTAAAAAATAAATTTAATATTTAAGATTTTCACCTCATTTCCACAACAATTAAAAAATAAAAATTTAATTCCTAGCACCCAAATCCAAACCGTCTCCCGGTTACTGTTTCTGGATCTAAATTTAGGTCTATTCATATAACTCCGATTCAGTCGAAAACCACTCCTCCGCCACCTCCACTACTTGCTTCGCCTTCCACCCGACGTGCTCCAAGATGATTTGGTGGAAGATTACGAAGCAAACGCGCCTTTTCCGGGTGGAGATGCAGAAAAATGGAACCCTGGCCACCCACCGCTCCGATCCTCATCTCATACTTCCTCGTCTTCTTGCCATCACCAACGTTTAATTACTTTGCCTCCGACCCCGACATGCTCCAAGACGTTTACGTCGCTGACACCTTTGGCATCTTTAGAAGAGTACTCTCCCACCGCTGTGGCCTCATTCATCGGATCCCGCTCTCTCCGCCGTGGAGTTGAGGTGCCCGGTGGAGTTCGACGCCCAACCAGATCCTCAATGAGAGTTACACCATGGGGACGTCTATTTCCTCCAAGAAAATAGTCAATTGGCATAAAAGGTTGTGCCCAATCGACGCCATCAACCTGCAGGGGCGGCGCTACCTTATGTCCCCTTAGAATTTTGAAAGTTGCATATGAACTCGTAGTTAAAATTACGTGTAACTTAAGTTTGTAGTGAAATACTTATATGTGCAGAACCTATAACAAAATGTGGTTGCAATCAACCGAAGAGAGGCATATAATTCTCCTTCGTTGATGCATGTTCGAATCACGACGATGGCAATTTGTATTCTTTTCCCGTTTTACTTGCGTAAAAATTCAATTTAGTCATTCAAA